TTAAATCATGATTTAAAACATTGTTACTTTCACAGACATAATGTTATATCTGATCTTGGACAACGTCTGTCTTGGAAAATAAACAATTTATGTTAAAGTGGAAATGGAAATGATGGATTTTTTTAAAATTATTTTTTCCTTGGTACAGATATAGTAATGAACTAGACAACAATAGAAATGTTTTACAAGTAATTAAAGTCTTAGATGAGAAAGGGTGTTCATTTGATCAATATGCAAACTCTCTGCTTGTCTATACAATACAATATGCAATATTTCTGGGGAAACAACAACCATATTCCTGTAAGCAATGTGTTTATTTGCTTTCAAAAACTGAGAAGTATTGTAGAAGTAGTAATTAGAAGTATGTTTTTCTTTACTTTTAGGCATTTGAAAATTCTTATCTGCATAGCAGATAATGAAAACAGTGTTGTAATGTTTGATGGAAGCCCAATGTTACACACTTGTCCAAAAGAACTGGACTTTGCAACCCCCACTACAGTGCTACTTTTGTCAGAATTAAATATATTTGATTGCCGCTGAACTGGAATATGTGGAATCAGTTTTCTGCTTTATCATTTAACCATTCCAAATCTGTTCCCAATCAAATGCTAATAATCTGCTTCAGCACAAGAACTCATCAGTGAGCCCATGCCTTTCCCCCTTCTCTATTCTATTTGCTTAGTAGAAGAATTTTGAATTACCGCAATGTTTTAAGAGTTACTTTTCCACAATAAGTTAAACATGTGATATGTTGTTAAAGAAATGGATGTTCTTCCCATTACTTTCCGTGTTTAAGAGTACAGAAAGAAGAGAAACATTCCTTAAATTGATACACATCTAGGAATTACTTTCTATTCTTGTTGAAAACAGTTTAATACTATGCAATAATTTATGAAAACATATGTTACCAACTGTGAAATTTAACTTTGTCTATGATTGTTTTTATGCACATTTCTTACTTATCACTTTCAGTTCTCTAAGTTGATAATGAATTATCTAGAATAAAATGTTGGTGTCACTCATGTAGAATGTGTCTGAATATGGATCTTGGGAACTGTAACTATTAAAAAAGTGAGAGGGAATTTTTATATATTGTAAATGTGCGGGATATTTAAAAAATTAAACTGAAATACTATTCTGCAATATGGACTGCATGATAAAAATTGGTAATCAGCCTTGGATCATTTTGGCTTATTAGAATTTTATGATAATTTCCTTCCATTAAATGATGTCATTTTTAACAGAAACAATATTTAACTAGATTAAGTACCTCTTTAGTTTTAGTGGCATATTTTTGGGGAGTATAACCTAAGTGTCTAGATTCTTTATTAGAAATAAAATGAATAGTCTCTTAATTATTTTAGTATAGTTAATTGATATTTCTTCAAGATGCTGTACTTTGACTGTAAAGCAACATAGCTGATAGCAGAGTCTTTATGTTGTGCACTGAATTGTATGGACAATACGATTGAATAGAGCACAGTACAATAAAAATATGGAT